CCAGGGAGCCCTGCCCCCCCCCCCCCCCCCCCCAGCCCGGCCCCCCCCAGCCCCCGCGGGGGGTGCGGCACCCCCCCGGGCAGCCCCGCCACTCCCCGGCGGTGCTGTGCGGGTCCCTCTCGGCGTGGATCTCGGCGTGGACGCGGGACACCAGCCCCGGATTGCGCTCCGACACCAGGGGGACGTCGCAGACCTCGGCCCGGCGCCCCAGCCGGTAGGTGCAGTGCGGCCCGGCTGGCCGGAAGGTGTGCAGGTCCCGGTTCGGGTCATCCCCCGGGCAGGCCGGGCCCATCCGCAGCAGCTGGAAGCAGGGCAGGGCCTCAGACGGCATGGCCGGCTCCCTCTCCCCAGCATTGGGGAGGGAGTGCTGGGAGTCAGGACTCCTGGGTTCTATCCCAGTTCTGGGAGGGGAGTGGGGTCTAGTGGGTTAGAGGAGGCGGGGCTGGGAGCCAGGACTCCTGGGTTCTATTCTTGAGCAGTTTACTGGCTGAGACCGGAGCAAGTCATGGTAGCAGTGGCTGGAAATTTACCCAGCTCCTGCCCCAGCCTCTCCTGCCCCGTGTGTGTGTGTGTATGGGGGGGGGGGAATTAATTCCCTCCCATTACCTCCCTCGTTATCTAGCTGACAACACAACAGCTCACGGCATCGTCTCCCCACCCTGGCTGCTGCTAGAGTGCACTGGCTCCCTGCAGGGGGTGGGGGGACCCTGCTACCGATCCCACCCCCTGGGGGCTCAGGGGAGCCAAAACATGGGGGGCTTGGAGACTGAGATAGAGTGAGAGCGACAGGTTGGACCCCTCCCCCTTTCCCAGCTCCGGATCCCCTTTGCCTTCCTGTGCAATGCAGTTCTGGAGCCTGGCAGGGCCCTTTCCCAGCTCTAGACCCTCCACCCCTGTGCTCTATGACTCTAGAACCCCCTACGTGTCTCTAGCTGTTCCCTCTGCCCTCAGGATAGAGAACCTCTCACGAACGCCGATCTAGAAAACCTGCCACCCATGGGAAAATGGCTCCAGAACATTGCGTCTCTTGGCAACGCTGCTCTAGAACTCAGACCCTGGTCGGCATGGCAACCAGGCTCCTGCACAGCCCGAGCCCTTGTCTGACCCCTCCTCTCGGCGCTGGGACTCTAGAACCCTGGTCTCCTAGCAACGCAGCGCTAGAGCGCCCCGGCCCCCAGGGCAGCGAGGCTGGCGGGCATGACCCCTGGTCGCCTTGGCAACAAGGATCTAGAACTTCAGCCGCCTTAGCAACACAGTCCCCTTTGTAACACAGCTCTAGAACCCAGGCCTTGCTGGTAACCGGGTCCCCCGGTGACGTAGCTTCGGGGCCCCGGTCTCCTTGGTAACGGGGTCCCCCCAGTGACGTCGCTCCGGGACCCCGGTCTCCTTGGTAACGGGGTACCACCAATGACGTAGCTCCGGGACCCCGGTCTCTTGGTAACGGGGTACCACCAATGACGTAGCTCCGAGACTCCGGTTTCCTTGGTAACGGGGCCGCGCCAGTGACGCAGTTCCTGGACCCCGGTCTCCTTGGTAACGGGGTCCCCCCGGTGACGTAGCTCCGGACCCCGGTTTCCCCCTCCCCTTGTCCCGGCCCGGCGCTGAGCGTCCGCCGGCCACAGCCGCTGCCCGGGCTCCCGTGCGGCGCGCGCTGCCTGGGGAGTCGCCCGCTGATTGGCCGGGACGGAACTGGTGGGCGCGGCCGCTGCTTCCCATTGGCTCTGGCCTGGGCGGCCGCTCCCTGATTGGCCGGAACTGCGAAATCACGTGGGGAGCGGGCCGGCGGGCGACTCCTGATTGGCCGAAGTTGACAGGAGTGGGGCGGGGCCGGAGCGCGAGCGCCTCAAACTGTGGCGGGCGGTTAGGTGGGCGCGCATGCGCATGGGCCCAGGTGGGGGAGGAGCCGAGAGAAAAGGGGCGGAGCTCAGGTGAGGGGCCGGGAGGGGCCTGGGGTAGGGCTGGCAGGGAAGGAACTGGGAGGGGAGGGGTCCAGGGGAGGGGCTGAGAGGGGCGGGGCCCAGGTGGGGGGGAGGGGCAAGGGGCCCCGAGAAGGACTCAGGGAGGGGAGGGGCTGAGAGGGGCGGGGCCCAGGTGGGGGGAGGGGCGGGGAGGGAAGGAACTGGGAGGGGCCCGTGGAAGGACTCAGGGAGGGGAGGGGCTGAGAGGGGCAGGGCTCAGGCCCAGGGTTTTTCGGGGGGAGGTGTATAGGAAACGGGGAGAGAAGGGACCTGCCCCTCACAAAGGAAACGGGGGGGGGTGGTCATTGGGGAGCAGCTGGGCTGGGGGAGGCGGCAGGGGCCCCGCGGCACCGATCCAGCGCCCAGGCCCGGCCTGCAGGGAGCCCTGGGCTCAGGTGTCTCCCTGCCCCCCCTGTGGCGCCAGGGGCTAACTTGGGGAGGGCCCCCCCCTTTCTCCATGGCGAGACCAGCCGGCCGACGCGCAGCCTGTCACATGGGGGGGCCTGGCCTAACATCGGCCCTGCCCTCGCTGGGCAGCATGGGTGGGGGCAGCAGATGGGGTGTGTCCCAACAGCTGGGGGGCACAAGGGGTCAAGGCAACAGCAGGGGGCCACTCATTAAGAAACGTGGGTAATTAACAGCACCTGCTAATGGGTGTGTGTGTGTATGCGTGCATGCAAAATCCACAGGATTTCCCCCTACACACCTTGCTGCAAACAAGGTATGTGGGAGCCAGGACTCCTGGGTTCTCTCCCAGCTCTGGGAGGGGAGTGGGGGCTGGGAGCCAGGACTCCTGGGTTCTCTCCCAGCTCTGGGAGGGGAGTGGGGGCTGGGAGCCAGGACTCCTGGGTTCTCTCCCAGCTCTGGGAGGGGAGTGGGGTCTAGTGGTTAGAGCGGGGCAGGGCAGGAGCCAGGAGACAGCTACAGGAACATGTTCGTGTTTAATTCAAATGATCTTTATTCCACATCCACGAAAACCAGCCGCCAGATGGGGAGCAGCTCCCCCACCCCCCATCAGGGCGGCCCCTCCTCATCCTCGGCGCTGCCTTCCTCCCCTGGCGGCGTCTCCTCGTCCTCCTCCCGCAGGAGGGCCGTGCTGAGGCTCTGCAGGTCGTCCAGCACCGCGGCCAGGGTCTCTGAGGGGGAGATCAGCATGGGGGAGATCGTAGCAGGTGAGGGTAGGGGGGCCATAGCCCCGCCTGGGTGGGAATCCTGGAAGGAGGGAGGGGAAGGTGGCGGGGGGTGTCACAGCCCAGGTGGGGCAGGGGGATCTTAGCAGGGAAACTCTAGGGGGGGCCATAGCCCAGGCTGGAGGGACTTGGGTGGGAGGCCTCTGGGTGGGATCCCAGCGCGGGGCTGGAGGCAGGTCGGTACCTTTGGAGGGAGGCCGGGCTCCCGGTTTCCCCAGCGGTGGCTGCTGGCCGGTCCCTCCTGGCTCCCCTCGGGCCGCCAGCCGGTTCTGCTTGTACTGGGCCAGGAGCCCCTCCTGCCGCAGTGTGGCCTGGGGGGAGAGGCGGGGTCAGGAAGGGGGGTGTGCGTTGCTCCCGGGGGAGCCCAGGCCTGGGACAGCAGGGGCTGCAGATAGGCACTGGGGGGCTCTGGCAGGGGCACCCCCCAAGCCAGCACCTACCATCAGCAGGTTCTTGTCTCTCTCCAGCGCTTGGAGCCGCGTCCCCAGCCGGCCCGTCTCCTCCCGCTTGGCTTCCTCCTGCAGCCGCGCCAGCTCCTGGCTCCTGGCTCTGTCCCGCGCCGCCTGGCGCTCGGCCTGACGCAGGGCCACCACTGCGGGGAGAGGGCGGGTGAGGGGCGGCGGGGCGGGGGTGAGGGGGCAGCAGGGGAGCCGTGGGAGGAGCCTGGGCTAGCCGGGCGGCAGGCGTGAGGGGCGCTGGCGGGGGCGTCTCTCACCGGCCTTCGTCTGCTCCCTTCGGGCCTCGCTGAGCCGCTGCTCAAGCTCCGAGAGATCCTGACGCAGCCGCGTCTCCACCTCCGTCACCTTCTCCTGTAGGGCTGGGGGGGAACGGGGGAGTTAGCTCTGACTGCCGGGGGAGAGCGCCCCCTTCTGACCCCCACAGCTCCCTGCAGCTGAGGGCCACCTGCTGCCCCCCGTGCCCCAGCCCAGCACCCCCTGCTCCGCTCCCCACAGCCCCCTACTGTTCCCCCGCCCCAATCCCCGCAGCATGGCGCCCCCTGCTGACCCACTCCCCACATGGCACCCCCTGTTGATCCCCCTGCCCCGCAGCCCAGCGCCCCCTGCCGAATCCCCGCCACACTCCCCGTAGCCCGGCACCCACCACCAAGCCCCCACCCCACTCCCTGTAGACTCCCCCCCTGCTTCCCCTCCCACTCCACTCCCCACAGCATGGCGCCCCCCTCCCCGCATGGCACCCCCGCTGGCCCCCTCCCCGCTCCCTGCAGTACGCCCCCCCAGCCCTCCCCGTACCTCTCTCATATTCAGGCCGCAGCCCAGCCAGTTCCCGTCTCAGCGCCTCAGCCTCCTCCAGGCTCTCCCGCAGCTCCCGCTGCGCCCCCTCCAGCTGCCCCTGCTGCTGTCGCCACTCCCGCTCCGCCGCCTCCTTCTGCTCCAGCGCCCCCTGCAGGCTCCGCGTCGCCTCCCGCAGCTCCAGCTCCGCTGCGGCCAGATGGGAGACGGGACGGGTGTGTTATTAACCTGCCGGGACCTTGGGCCTCCTCCCTGCACTTCCAGCTGTGGCCAGTAGGGGCCGCACCCTAGCCAGCGGTGGGGAAAGACTGTCGGGTGCGGTTTCACCTGTGCCACCGGTGGCACCGTTGAGCTCAACCCAGCCCACGTACCTTTCTCCCGGGCTTCGGCCACCTGCTGCTCGAGGATCTGGGCCCCCTTCTTCAGCTCGGCCACAAGATGGTCCCGCTCCTGGTGCAGCAGGGCCAGCTCGGCCCGGAGAGCCTCAAGGGACGGGCTGGAAGGGAAGGGGGGAATGAGGGAGTCAGACAGCCCCCTGCAGGAGTCCTGGCTCCCAGCCCCCCTTGCTCTAACCACTGGACCCCACTCCCCTCCCAGAGCCAGGGAGAGAACCCAGGAGTCCTGGCTCCCAGCCCCCCCACTCTAACCACTAGACCCCACTCCCTCGTGGCACCCCTATAAGCGCTGTGCCATTGGCTGGTTCCCGTCCCCAGGGTGGGGTGGGGCTGGACAGGACTCACCCGTCGTTCTCTGAGCCAGTGGCCTTGGGCTGCTCGTCTCTCTGCAGTCGAGCCAGGGCCACTTTACGAGACACCAGCCCTGCAACCGCACAGATGTAGAGTTATGGCCCAGAGATGCAGCCAGCTCTGGGGCAGGGCAGCTGGGAACAGCCCCACAGGGATGCTGCAGGGGATGGCCCATCTGGCGCTGAAATGCAGCCACCTCTGGGGTGGAGTGGCTGGGCAGCAGCCGCACAGTGACGCTGCTCAAAAGTTTGGGACAGGAAGTGAAGAGGGATCATGTATCCTATTGAGACCCACAGAAGATGTGATCCAGGACACCGGGCTGGATAGGCCCGTAGGTCTGCCCTGGGGCAGGCGGGATACCGGGGTAGATGGGCCCATCGGTCAGATTCACTGCTCCGGTTCGTCCCTCTCACCTTGGATGGTGTCGACTCTCTTGGCGGCGAAGGTGACTCGGTTTCCCAGTCCTGCCAGGTTCGATGCGGCCGCCTTCAGCTCCGCCTCCTGCCCACCAACCTGCTGATGGAGCCTGTGGACAGGACAAGACCGAGGGTCAGAGGGCATGACCTCCACATCCTGACCAATCAAACACTTGGCCTTCCACCCGCCGGGCCTGCGACCCCAGAACGGGAGGAGGAGGGAACAGTCGAGGTTGTGACCTCAATCACACCAGCCCCAGCCGCTGATGGTCCACAGATGCCAAAACACTGCAGCAAAGGATTCTGGGTAGCAGGGGTGTGGCGGGAGCAGCTGGCTATAAGGTCATGCTAATGGGGGGACAAGATCAGAGCCAGGGATCCTTGGTGGGGCCAGATCGAAGCCGGTGCCCCCTAGAGGGGAAAAGCCTCTATTCCCCGGGGCCCCCCCGTTTGTCTGCAGAGCGCCCCCCAGTGGTACCTCCTCACGATCTCCACAAGACCCCGCAAGGCGCCCTCAGCCGCTTCCGCCCGGTGCTGGAGACGCTGCCCTGAGTCCTCTCGGTGGGACAGCTCAGCCCGGAGCGTCTGCAAGGGAGCAGAGCGCCAGTCCCAGCCAGCGCCCGCCCTGGGGTGCCATTCCCCACCCTCCTCAGCCAGCGTCCGCCTCGGGGTGCCATTCCCCACCCTCCTCAGCCAGCGCCCGCTCCGGGGTGCCATTCCCCACCCCCTCAGCCAGCATCCGCCCCGGGGTGCCATTCCCACCCCCCTGAGCCAGCCAGCGTCTGCCCCGGGGTGCCATTCCCCACCCTCCTCAGCCAGCCAGCGTCCGCCCCGGGGTGCCATCCCCACCCTCCTCAGCCAGCCAGTCCCTGCCCTGGGGTGCCATCCCCACCCCCCTCAGCCAGCCAGTCCCTGCCCTAGGGTGCCATCCCCACCCCCCTCCAGCCAGCCAGTCCCTGCCCTAGGGTGCCATCCCCACCCCCGAGTCAGCCAGTCCCTGCCCTCGGGGTGCCATCCCCACCCCCTCGAGTCAGCCAGCGCACGCCCCAGGGTGCCATCCCCCACCCCCCGAGTCAGCCAGCGCACGCCCCAGGGTGCCATTCCCCACCCCCCTCAGCCAGCCAGTCCCTGCCCTGGGGTGCCATTCCCCACCCCCCTCAGCCAGCCAGTCCCTGCCCTGGGGCCGGATGGGAGCCGGCGCCCCCTAGAGGGGAAAAGCCCCATTCCCGCACCCTCGAGCCAGGCCCGAACCTCGCTGTTCACTCGTTCCATGTCGGCCTCAGCTGTTTTATCCTGAAGACTGTGACGCAGCAGCGCCACCTTCTGGTCCCTCGACTCCACTTCGCCCTGCAGCTCTGAGACCTAGAGCGAGAGCGTGGGGGACTGAACTACTCCGGGGGGGTTCTGCGCATCGGCGGACGTGCCCAATCCCTCGGTCTCGCAGAATTTTGTATTTTCTCGCACAAAAAACATTTTGCCTAAGAAGCGCTGCAGTTTCGCCTTCTGCCCACCAGAGGGCGCTGTGGCACCAGAACAGCCAGCTGGTTTCCTGAGACTTTGGAAGTGGAAGGCAGGTTGGGTGAAAGTGACCATGAAATGGAAGAGTTCATGATTGTAAGGAATGGTAGGAGGGAGAACAACACAATAAGACAATGGATTTCGAGACGGCGACTTCGGCAAACTCAGGGAGTTGGTAGGTAAGATCCCATGGGAAGCAACTCTAAGGGGAAAAACAATTGAAGACAGTCGGCAGTTTTTCAAAGAGACATTATTAAGGGCACAAGAGCAAACTATCCCACTGCATAGGAAAGATGGGAAGTCTGGCAAGAGACCAGCCTGGCTTAACCAGGAGATCGTCAGTGATCTAAAAATCAAAAAAGAGTCCTACAAAAAGTGGAAACTAGGTCAAATTACAAAGGCTGAATATAAACAAATAACACAAGTCTGTAGGGACAAAATTAGACAGGCCAAGGCACAAAACCAGAACAAACTAGCTAGAGACATAAAGGTAACAAGAAAATAGTCTACAAATACATTTGAATCAAGAGGAAGACCAAGGACAGGGTAGGCCCGTTACTCAATGAGGGGGGGGAAACAATAACGAAGTGTGGAAATGGCAGAGGTGCTTAATGACTTTTGTTTCGGTTTTCACCAAGAAGGCTGGTGATGATTGGACGTCTAACATAGTGAATGCCAGTGAAAACGGGGTAGGATCAGGGGCTAAAATAGGGGAAGAACAAGTTAAAAATTACTTGGACAAA